CAAAGGACTCTGGCTTCTCTCTTCCTGATGACCTTTAGTCTTCTGCCGGTACCTTCTATTGGCCAAATTTTTCCAGAAGCCATTGGCAAAGAAGCTTGGGAAATGTAGTTTGCATGGGTCATCCCTCTTTCCACTCTAACTTCTATACTGAGTGGAGCAGGGAAAGAGAAGGGAGTAAGTCAGCATACCAACAATGGACACTACTCCTAAATTAGTATCTCCAGCTCAGACCTCTTCTCTGAGCTCTAGCTTCATTCACTTGTTCACCTGACATCTCCACTTGGGTGTCTAGTAGTCCTAACTTAATGCAGCCCAAAGGGAACTCGTTTTACCGGCCAGCCCTCCCCATATTGCCGTTCTTAAATATGTGATTCACCCAGCTCAGCCAAAAACGGGGGTTCTCATTGCTTCTGTTCTTTCTTTACTCCCCACTCCTTCCAACCTTTTACAAGACCAGTTGATTCCACCTGCCAAAGCAGTTCCTCTCCAGTCTTCTCCATCTTTGCTATTACCACCTGAAGCCAAGCTGACATCATTTCTCCCCAAGGTGACAATCGTGGCTTCCTAAGTGGCCATGCTACCTCATTGTGTCTCCTTATTATATACTGCCCAGTGGTCAGTTCTTGAAGATCTGGAGAACAAGTGTTTATTAAGTCAGAAGTTTATTCTAAGTGCAACAGGAGCCACTGAAAGGGAGTAACATAAAAATCAAATTGTAAATCTAAATCTATTGTAGAAATTAACCTACCTTCCTTGAGGAGAATAAAGTATAAATGAACAAAAATGTAAGGCAATTATACACCTCAGCCTTTTTATTCCACCTCTTCCACACCATTCAGCCTTAACCTCTCAGAAATCTCTCTTGACCAGGCTGTAGTAATTACAGTTGTTCACAAATATCCCTTCTTCCTCTGATGGGAACAAAATAGGGTGGCACTTCTCAGTGGCCTGGAAGTCAAATGTGGCCACACAAACTGCTTTGGCCAATGAAATGTGGGTGGAAGCAACATGTCACTGCTGGGTGGGAACATTCAGAGCCACCAAGTGCTTCACCACTACTTTCCCACTACCTCAGTGATGGGCAGCCTTCCAGATAATGGCCACTCCATTGGCCTGAGGGTGACAATTATTCAGAGAGCTGCCAACCCATAGACACATCACATGAGCAAGAAATAAAGGTGTGCTGTTTTAAGTGGCTAAGACTTTAAGATTGTTCCTACAGTGTGCTCAGCCTATCTGGGCCGATGCAATCTTTCAGTTGCTTACATTGGCCTGCATCATGTCCATCATGGAAATTGCGATGGACTGATAATTCCCACTTATTTTATTCGTTGATTTAGTTTCCACTCTGCACCCCTCTTGAAACCCCATGAGGGCAGCATCTCTGTCTATCTAATTCACCACTGAACTTGGCAAAACCCATTTTGCCAAGGCTACGGCATTTAATAAGCTCGTGCTCAGTACAACTGAAGCCCAAAGCTGAAGAACCAAAGCCTAAAGCTTCACTCCACCACTTGCGTGTTAGAACTTTTGCTTGGGTTATACCCTTCTAGCTGATTCTCAGGAAACCCAATTGCTCCCAAGGCGACCACACTTCCTTTGTCAGAAAAAGCCCTGCTACAGACCATGTGCAGTAGATAAACAAAAAGGGATGAAATCTTAGAACCATAAATCATTCAGTATGAAGTCAGCCAGCATTAGGAGGGTGGGACAAAATTCATGTTAACACTGTTTTTACCACTAAATGGCAGACAGTTGTTCTACCCCTTTTAAAGTGTCCTATACCAGCAAAATCTAATTCCCCAGAAATGGCCAAATCTCAAATTTCACTATTGCAATAAAATATTAGCACTGAAAAAAGCCTTAGTGATTGCTCAATTCATAACACTCCACTTATCATCTGGCATGATTACTTTTAATCAGAAACCTCTTGGGGTCTCATTGCTGTCTGGAAAAGCTTAGCAACTCCAGTCAAAGCTTCTGTTGCCTGAAGTCACTGCCTTTTGAAACCCAAGGTATTAAAAATGCATTCTTCTACCACTCCATTTTACAATATAATTCTAATCAAGCTATGAAAAAGATCCTGCTCATAAATTTAGCCCTGCAATATTTTCAGGTTTTAATATCTTTCCTCCTAACAGAAGTTTTCCTTAAGGTTTCAAAATGTCCAAGCTAGTGAAGAAATAAGCTCATAAAAACCACTGTGGTGTTGTTGCTGCACCTGTTCTCGTGTGAACCGGCATGATGGGTGGGACCTTTTATTTCTTTAGGGCAACCTGAGTAAGGTCACTGATTATGTTCTACTTATCTAGCTTAGTTTCCTAAACTCTACACAACAAAACTATATCCTTGATAAGCAAGTGCATTTTGTCTGCTTTGCAAGATGTGCATTACAAACTCACTGAACAGCCAATCTGAAATTATCAATGTTTAGCATCCACAGATGGCAATTTCTGCAAACTTGTCCAACCTCAATTCAGTCGTATTAACCAGGTCCTAATCCTGAAGTTCAGGTACTATTTACTGTGGTTGAAACTTTTCAAAAAAAGTGAGCTCATCTCATTTCCCCCCATAAACGGGACAGTTTAAATATTGCAGGTCTCTCAAACACAAAGCCAAATTCACACAAAGGAAATCATTTACATGTGGTTAAGGAAACAGGAAATTTTCACGTTGGCTTTAATATTTATAGTCGACCAAAATTTTTCTGAACTCGGTAATCATAACTAACATTTTTTATAGCACTATTTATTGCATCTTAAAATTAAAAAATAATAAAAGTAGGCAGAAAACATACAGTTGAAGAAAACTGGATGTCAGTCTATACAATGATTTTTTTTTTTTTACTTTCAGCATGACAGACTTTATTTTGGCACTTTAACAAATATTTTGCTTTACAGCAGTGACAAAATATTTGGCAGAATTTTTCTCTTCCTGGCATAGAGTTTCCGAGCAGTTGTTATTCTATGAACTGGGTTTCACTATGCTTTGCATTGTTAGAGGTATGCTCACCAGATTCTTCACCTTGAAACCGAGGGGTAACATGCAGCTTCAGATGGTGCTATCACTTCCCTTTAACCACTCCCATGCAAATTTGTTCTGTGAGTGATGGGGCAGGAATTTGAGAATTAAGGCCATTAACAATTTAAGTAAACACTGGTCCATGTGTTGCTTTACATTTCTGTAAAGAAATGAGTTCTGTGGCAATTCCAGGGAATGTTCTCTAAATGAAGTACTCATATTTATTTAAAGTAAATTACATGTTGCAAAGGTTGATGTTTTTGCCATCTCCTTCCTACTTTGGAAGCTCACAATGTAAAGCAAAATTAATGGTAACATAGAAAAAGGCAACGTTCAGTTAGAAAGCAGTACCCAGGCCGGGGACCCTCTTTCCCTCTCCCGCTCACACATCATCGCTTGCTCACAATTTCCACCCTAAGCAGCGAGACCCTCTGTTCATACAGAGAGCCTCCCTGCCTGCTCTCCTTCCCTGTGGTGCGAATGATGCTATTCCATTTCGTAGTTCTTCGGTTAAGCTTCAGAAGAGATTTGGAGCACAATTTCAAAGGTAAATCAATCTATAAAGCTAAATCTTAGATACCGACCTCAGGAAAGCTCCCTTCAGTTCTTTGGAATTGATAGCCCTAAACGTTGTTTGCAAAAGCAGGCATCTGTCTCAGTACTGCCGTCAGCTCTCCTGTAAGGGCCGCAAACATCACCATTCCCACCCTGGCAGTCTTCTAACATTTACACCCCAATACACACAAGATGATACATTTAGAATTCCTCTGGCCAATTTGGAAGTGAAGCTGTACCAGCCTCTAATGAGGAGCTCGTCGGTGGTGATGTACAGATGCTGTGGAACGCTAAGAAATCAAACCCACGTCATCCTGGACAGCGGACGGTCAACGGCAAAGGGGAGATGTACAATTTGATCGAAATGTACAAAATTTATAACAAAATTTATAACAGTGACATTTTCAATTATTAGGCCACATGATTTATTCAGTAGTTTTTATGTTCCCAAATTACAATTTATGTCTATGCATAAGTCTACAAAAAAGTTACCATTAGAATTGTCTGTGCTTATAAAATACCAACTTTTTTTTAACTGTTATATATACTCATTAACACCAGTCTGTGACGAGTTACATAGAATCATAGGCACTTCAAAGGCTTAAAAAGACGTTTACAACTTAAATGCATTTTTTAAGAACAAAAACTGATTTTTCCTTAAACCCCTACTCGTACCTTCAAATTGCAAGAAATTAACAAATACAGCGGCCAAAGGAATCTGCAGCAACTTGTCAAAATACTGTTAGCATCTTTGGGTTTGCTGAGGCTTGTCAGTAACTCACATCAAATCCTCCCAAAAGAGGATCTGATTAGATTTGACTAAACAGTTTTCTGGTAATAATCCAATTTTACACATTAATTTGCTGTTGCAAATCTGCCTGAAGCTATAGGTAATGAAAAACAAAGCAAGTGTAAAATGGATAGTCCAACACTTAAAAATTTATACAAAGTGGAGGTTAAAGTTTACATATTTGAAAATCACATATACACTAAATTACCGTTATCTGAATTATCCAAAGACAAATTGCACCATAACAGCTACAAAAGGCAGAGAGTTTTGTTTTCCAGGGGACACGAGGAGAGAGCAGAGGAGAAGGGAACGACAGATAAATTAACAAACTAAGACCAACCTGGCTGGATCGGTCGGAGACATGCGGACACAAATCAAACAGCTTTCCTCTTTGAACCACTGAATAAAAACAATCATTCCGTATTTGCGCATAAAAGTTTAAACTGATTCCATGAATATTGAGAATTTTCATAACATAATATTTTGCCACTGCTATTCACAGAACACTGCAGATGTTAAGTTGTAATTTTATGTTCTAAAGAAATACATGAAAAGTTTTAAATACAATGGGATTTTTATCATTAAAGTGCCAGAATGGCTCTTCAATGAAAAAAACAAAAAACAAAGGTCTTCATTATTCTATGCAAAAGCTTTATTTTTAAAAGTTCAGTGATCTCATAAATAGAGACACTAAGTGGGAGTTTCACGCGTAAAACTCCTTAGTAGGTGCCTTCTGGTACGCAGCACTGGATGGTTTGCGCTCTCCAAGGTCATAGCTTCCTTCATCCTTCTTTCTCATGCGGTACACCAACAGCAGGATGAGGAAAATGGCAAAGAGAAAGCCTATCACGCCACCGGCAATGACAGCTGAAACACACCGAAAGGGAGATGACTTTTAGAGGAGATTCAATGGTTGCAGAAATAGCTTTGTCAGGCCTGTTGTCAAAACTATTTTACAACACTTTCATAAAAGGCTTAATTTGAAAACCCCCCAAAATGTAAAAACTGGATTCAATGAAGCAACCAGGGAATTGTGCAACTCTGACATTCCTCAAAAAGGAACAATACTTTCTTTGATTTGTATTAATAGCATCACCCAAAAGCCTCAATAAGAAAAATCTGGCTGTGAACTCGTTGAATTCCATACTTTAAGATGCTTTAGTCTTTTCAGTTCTCACATTTCATAGTCTAATTTTCTCATTGCTTTTTCAATGAAAACACAAAGCATGATATGATTTTATTTATATTGTGTAACAGTAAATAGGAAGAAAAGCAAACAATTTTTCCCCCTCTAGAGTTGGATTTGGGACTATCCTTTCCAGGATTAAGTGTTCTTAAATCTTGCAAATCTTCCCCTTTAACAGCAAATGCTAATACTTTCACCAGATTAAGTTAATTAGAGAAACAGCCTTAATGCCTTGGGTGTTGCTTATGTCAATTGCCTTCTTCGTGAGGAACTTTTCCTTCTCCTCTTTTGCAATGACTTGGAGCAAGACTGACTGATCATCTCATGTCATGCCACCCCCATGCCCAGCTGTTCTGGAACAATCTTAACTTTCCTCTTCCCCCACACCCAGATCCCCACAATGGCTGGGCAAGCCCAGGGCTGAGGGAGTTCACAGAAAATAAAGACATTTGCTTAACTCTTACCTCTCATTCTGGAGTGTGACCCCCAACCCAACTGCTTTCAGCACAAAGGTGACATTCGGCAAGCTTTGCCCACACCACTGAGTCTCACTGAGACAAACAGGGAGGCCGTTTAAGGGCCCTCTCACCTGACCCCTACCGTGCTGCTCACCTGCCAGGACTTCTGTTCTTTTAAACAGGTTGTCTGGGTGCTTCTCAGTATGCACATTTGTATTCTCTTCAGCCGGCTCCACTTTTCGTCCTGAGTCATAGCGGTGAACCTCACCCTTATCTGTTTCTTCAGGTGACTGGTATGGGAAAAGGGAAAGATTGTAAACATTTCCCTTAATGTGTTTAAAAGATAATGAGTATATTTCAAAGTTGCTTCCCTCCCCCCAACAATAGGTTTAGGAAATAATTGGGATGATCACTTTGCGTAATATTTTTACCAAGTGGGTGAGTCCTATGGCAAACCCAGGTAGTTTTATATAACAGCCAGCACACGTGCAGGAGATAGAGAGTGAGTTCATAACAATCCCAAGGGCGTGGTTAGGTTGTTTTAATTGACGTTTCATGAGATCTGTACCTTCTCACCACTCCTCTGGCCACCATCTCTCTCTGGCTGCTCCAACCCAGTGGCACTGTCTCAATTCTCCTTAGTCCCCTGCCTTGGACAGAGGACACTGTGACAGCTTCCTCTTAGTCCTTCTCTACAGGTGCTCACTAAGGGTTCTTCCTGATCCCACTCTGTGGGGAGTAGCCCTCAGGCTTACCCTGTGGGTATAATTCTCTCTTTCACTTACACATTCTTATGTGTTCATCGAACCCTGAACTAGAGCTTCAGGGAACCTGGGTTCTGCAAGTAGCTCCTATGTGACCCGAAGTCATACCACGTTTCTGGATCTCAGTGTTTTTTCAACCAGTGAAGAACACTCAGGCCCTTGGGTATTCCACAATTCTGTAAGTGTAAATCTAAGATGCTAACTCTCAAAACCTCATCTCCAGTCAGCTTTGTTATCTACCCAGCAGCCCATAGGACACTAACCCTTGGCTGCAGCACTGAATCAGATCAACCTTCTTTTCTATTTCCAACTATTCTTTTGGGCCTCCCCCAAAGTTGTTACTTTTGCACATTCCAAACTGTATCGGTTTGCTGTGCCACAGCCCTGCCAATTTGCCCCTCGCCACTCTCTCCAACTACATTCCTCCCCTGCATTCTCATTTCCGCAGCCTCATTCAGGTCTATAACACATTATATTAGTTCTTGCAACGACCCCATAACTGCACAGATTGGGGGGCTTGTAGTCTCCCCCCAGCTTCACGCCCAGGAGGAAACCTCGCACAGCCCTCTCTATTGCCACTTACCAAAACTGACCTTAACACCTGCGCCTTGGTTCATGCATTTCTCCCAACTCCAATCCAAATCCTCCACTTCTTTCACTGTCCATTTGCCCTTGACAAAGCCCATCCTCATCTCTCACCTCTCTAAAACCCCAGGACACTTTACAGTCTACAACATCAACACATAAATCATCTGTTGGCTTTCTAATCATCAGCTCCATCACTGTCCATCTTGTGTGAATGACCCACAGTTACAATGAAATCTACAAAGTTAAAAAATAAAATGCAAGCCCCACCACTAGAGACTCTGTTTCAGTGGGTTTGAGGTGGGAAAACTACTAGTGATTTTTGTTATTGTTGTTTTTTATAAAGCTCTCCAGACAATTCTATGGATTGAAAACTACTGGGTTAGGCAATCTCAGTTCACACGAGTTGCTTATTCTCTGTGAGCCTGGAGTTCTCATCAGTCATTACTATCGATAGAAAGCACTGTCAGCTGCACTGGGCTATTATTGAAGACGATAATCCTTTTTAGTGCTACTTCTCTTCCTAAGGACAGCCAACCATCTTCATTAGGACTCTGAGCTGGGACTTTCATTAAGACTGACTGTTTTCTGAAAGCCACGGTTCACCTGAAGTGGCAGTCTGCTACTTATGGCTAGACAGTTAAATAACCTTTAAAAGATCTCATCTTCTTGGGGTGCTTCATGGTCATGGACATCTCCAGAAAGAACCGTGAACTAGGTGGACCCATTTGAACTTCAGAGCAGGTGAGGTCAGAAGGTCCCTGCCTCGGTGAACAGAGCACTAAGCTTCCAGTGAAGCTCAAATGTAGTCAAGTGAGATAAAGTGGCTTACTTTCCTAAACCACAAGACACCTTCTAGTGACCGAAACCTCAACATGCTGTAACTTACAAAAAGCAGAGGCTATGGATAAATTATCATGCACAGCTGCACAAAATGCATCACAAATCTCACTGTTCTCTCACATCATTGTGGGAGAACATGAAAAGGTCCTCCCAAGCTTTCACGTACAAAAATAAAGCAGAAGAGGGAAGCTCCCGGGCAGTACACTGCTTGAGTTTTCTCTTTTCTTCTTGTGAAATCCCATCTCTAACCCGCTGCCTGTCAGAAGTACTGACAACTCAACAGATAAGAGAGTGGATTGTCTAGGCTTTAACCTAGGAAAGTTTTCACTGCTCATTAGCACTGCCCCTAGAGATTAGGGAAGGGAAGGGAAAACTCAAATGGGTGAATACTCAGGTGTGTGACGAGGGAAGAAAAGGAGGTAATCAAGTCCTGGTGGCACATGAGGTAGACATAAGCAGCTACTGTGATATCAGAGACTGAGTTTAACCTACCTACATCTTCTCTGTCCCATTGTCAAGAAAAATTACATAATGTCCCCTCACGTGTTTTGAGTCCCTGGAATCATTTGAGAGAGCTAACACTTCAATTCTCCCGACTCAGCTTCCAATCAAGCAGCCGGGAAGCTGCATGCATCTCAGGGGTGTGAGTGTCTGGGGCGGGAGGGCTGCACAGAATCGGGGCACCGTGAACTGAGAGGAATGTCCATCGGAGCAGAGCTTCCAGGTGCTCTGGAGAAGACATGTAAAAATCTAAGGTTTTATGGTATGGAAGCAGGGGCTTCACTAAGAATTCTTTCTATGGTATAGAATTAATCGGAAATACCTTAACTCTTGCAAATATATGCAAAATGAAAGTACCAAAGGCAGCACAGAGGATTAAATGAAGCCAATTAAAGATCTGCCACATCCGTGTCTGCTTGTTTAAATGCCATGGCAATGTAATAGGAGGAAAAGATTAAGAACAATGTTCTGCTTGAACAATTAACTGTGTTGTTTTTGTTTTTGTCACATAAATTTACAACAAACTAGGAAGCATATCTATAATGGTGACATGAATGCCACTGTGAGACCCATACAAAAGCAAACTCTACACTGGTAGTATCCTAAAGGCAATGTCTAAGTTAGCTGTGCCTTGTAACTACAAAATAAAAATGTAATCACTATTACTAATGTTTTTTCATTGTCAATATTATCAATTATCTACCTAGAATGGTATTTGACACATAATGATTAGCCCTCAATAAATCCCCCATAAATGAATGAAATGGATTATTATTACATTGAACACAAATGATACCAGGAATACAAATATATTAAGGTGTTTAGACATCCTTAATTTCTGAGCTCATCTGCCAAATACCTATCTTCTTTATATTGATCTGACACAATTACTTCCTTAAAGGCAATTTTTGAAAATTTAAATCAATGTTTAATCCATTGCTGTCAAGTGACCAGAAGTCTAAGTTAAATTAGATTTAGCTTAAGATACTACTTTTTATCACTGAAAGCCAAAACTGAGTTTCTTACCTCAGGTTAGTGAGTCTAAATGGTCCCTGACCTCTACAGATTTAGTCACGGCAAATGGTCCAAATAAAAACGCAGTGAAACCAAGTGCATGTTCAACATCCACACTGCAAAACTGAGCCACACCCGCTGCGAGGTGCTCAGCCATCCTACCGTCAGCTGCACCTGTTACTTTGCATTTCTCACCTTCTCCCTTCTTTTTTTCTTCATTCATTCAACTTAATACATTTATGGAGCAGCCACCGTGCACGCACCACGCTAGATGTGGCTACCTCAGGACTCACAGAGCTTCTCCTGTCTTTCCTATCACCTGACCTGTGAAGGTGATCAGCTACTGACCCTTCTTAATCCCACAGTGAGCACTCAGTCTGGAGAGAGCCGACCTGGCTGCTCCACATCTGCAGATACAGCCTTCTAGCTGTGTTATTCACCATCCTGTTCGCAGCCACCAGGAAGATGGAGGATGAAGGATGGGGGAGGGGAAAAGAGAGGGGGAAGGCAAAGGGTCTCTGATAAGGGTAGAAAATGAAAGGGCAGGAAGCCCACTTGTGTTCCTGCCAGCAGAGGGGCACCTCTTACTCCAGAGAAGGCCTATCACTACCTGCACAGCACAGCCTTCTGCATCCTATCCACTGCTAAAGCTGGGCACCAACAGGTGGGTGAGCTCCAAAAGGGGCCACCGTGTTGCTTAGTTTTCATAAGCCACATGCTGCCCTGGACTGTGCACAAAGTTGACTATTGGAGTTATTACACGTTTATTTGGCGAATCGCCTCGGTCTCAGCCACTCTAACCAAGTTCAGTCAAGGCTTACAGAATGTTTACCAGGTCTCAGAGGTCATGTAGCCTGCTCTCACCTTTAATCTTCTCAATGATCCATGAGAAATAGGCTCAGAGAAGCTCAAAGATTTGACCAGATCCAGGATTTGAAACCTGGGCCTTCTTCAAACTTTAATATGTATTTTCCAAATTATAAAGCTCACCTAACTCGTGGGGGGGCCAGCTAATTGCAATGTAACATTAATAAGGCCAAAATCACAAGTCTTACAGTTTTCATTAGCTAGTACCTTTGTTCTGTTCTTATTTCTTAATAAGTCAGCTCTCAAAATGAATACTACATAGAGATGCACTCAGAGTCATCAGCATCACTGAAAGAGATCAAAGCTTGCATACTCCGATGATGGTCTGGTGGAGACTTTGAGAAATAACTTATTGCAACTAGTATCTGGAGTCTCCTTATTCTGTAACCTGTTTCAACATAAGTAAAGTCCACACTGATTTTAACTTGGAACAGATTCTTTACGAAAGAAAAATAAATTTTCTTGTCTTGAGCCAAATGAAAAACCACAGGGGTTTTGTTTCTTAATTTGGCTGTGAGTTCCTTAAAAAGGACCACCCTTTAAAAATATTCATATCTGAGCTAGTCCTCAGTAATAAAAGTACAGAGAATAAGCTATCAAGCCATGAAAAGACATGGGGGAACCTTAAATGCCTATTACTAAGTGAAAGAAGCCTATCTGAGAGGGCGACATACTGTATGATTCCATCTATGTGATGTTCAGGAAAAGGCAAAACTATGGAGACAGTGAAAAGATCAGCAGTTGCCAGATTTTAGTGGAGGAGAACAGGCAGAGCACCAAAGACTTTTAGGACAATAAAACGGTTCTGTGTAATCCTATGATGGTGGATACATGTCATTATACCTTTGTCAGAACCCAAAGAATGACAACCCAAAGAATGTAAATGATGGGCTTTGGATGTTAATAACATGCGGATGTAGGTTCCTTGATTATAAGAAATGTACACGCTGGGGGAGGCCACTGATAGTGGGGGAGGCTGTACACGTGTGGGGCCAGGTGGTGAAAGAAACTCTCTGTACTTCCCACTCAATTTCGCTGTAACCTAAACTTGCTCTCAAAACAAAGTCTACCTAACTCACAAAAGGAGCAGTCAGTGGGTAAAAGTCAAAACAATCATAAAGAGGAAGTAAAAGCCATTTACGATAATGTAACAGAAATACCATTTATCCTTACATATTTTTATATGGGGCCTCTTAAAAGGACTATTCCATATGATTAAATTTACAGTGACCTGATAATACAATGCAAGACAAAACCTACCTTCGTCTGAGCAGGCATCTTGTTCTGCATCTTCAGCGTGGTGGTTTCCACTTTTGGAGCAGCACTAGTGAACGAGATCTTTGGAAGTGGCCGAGATGTGGTCAGCTCGGGACTCTCCATGTCCTCATCAGCTCCTGGAGAAGGCGGCAAAGATGAGCCGAGCACGTGAATCAAGATGCGGATTTCCACACAGAGAGACAATATTGTCTATTGTTGACACCGACAGAGGCATGTTCTTTCAAAATACCTGCTCATCAAGAATTTGGCAGTCTTTGCCCTGACTGGTGTGGCTCAGTGGGTTGGGTGTCCCTCCGAGGACCAAATCCTGGGTCAGGGCACACGCCACAGTGGCCATGCCAGGACCTTGGTTGGGAACGCGTGAGAGGCAACTGATCTGTTTATCATGCACATCGATGTTTCTCTCCCTCTCTTTCTCCCTCCCTCCCCTTCTCTAAAAATAAATAAATATAACCTTTAAAGTAGAGAATTTTTCCCTTAAAAAGAATTCAGCGGTCTTCACTGTGATGAACAAGTGATTTAAAAGTGGATCTGTGGGTAGCCTGGCAATTTCAAAAAATACTATTCCCATGAACGTTCTCAAGTAACCCTTCATTTGCAGTGTTCCGTCTTCCCTGATCTGTGAGATCCCTTCCTTGTACATGCTGCTTTTTCTGTTTCAAAACATAACAAAACAATAACCAAAAAGGAGAACAATTCCACGGCGACCCCTATCTGAGGGGGCTGCCCTCGGTCCCCTCCGTATGGCCAGGCTTTTCCGGGGGGCACTGTAGCTCCTCCCTCGTTCATTTCCTCGCCATCTGCTCCATTCTCTCTAGGCAGAGTGTCCCTGCCATCACACTGGTGGTCCGACTTTGTTAAGGTCACCAATGTCCTCCATGTTTCCAGACCCAATGGCATTTTCTGGAGTGGTTCTCTTCTAATCAAACCTCCTAGCCCCCCTGGTCACTTGTCGGCCGCCACCTCCTTCTTGGTACATGATCTCCAGGCCTCTGTGCCTCTGACTTGCTGGCTGTCCTCTCCCCTCTCGACTATTGGTCTCTGTGGCAAGTTCACTCTTCCCACCTGGACACAGAATGTCAAGTCTCCCTTAAGATTCAGCATTAACCGCCGACTGTCATCAGCACTAGTTTTTACTTTTCTTCCTTTTTTAAATATTTTACATTTGAGCATTTCTGACATTCAAGGAAGTGCAACATCCTTTTTAAGTTCACCATTTGTCAAATTTGTAAAATCTCAAACAAACTCAAACTCTGTAATCAAACCAACCTGCTTCCTCAGACAGAAACAGACAGCAAATACCTCAAATTCCTCACAGAAGCAGGTTCATGTAACAGGCAGTTGAGAAACTCAGAGGTCAGGTGCTGGGAACAGCACAATGGCTACGACCAGGGTTTGCTTTTCATAAATATTTTACTATATCAACTGTGTTTACTATATTTGACTATATTTTTACTATAGTAAATATAGTAATGTATTCACTATATATTGCTGTACATAGTACTATATTTTACTATATCAGCTGTTTACTTTCAGCATGTATATTCACTAGATGGAGAAGCAATGGCAGGGTATGCTGGAATGAATGTGGGATTTGGCACTAAAAAAACGCATCAACAAACTTAGTACTGGGCCTGGCATTTATTAGCTCTGTGTGACCTTGGGCAATTAATGCTTGACTATTAGTCTCTTCACCTCTAAGTGGGAAAAAGCCATAACTAATTCCCAGAGGTTCAAATATGATAGATATCTGAAAGTATTTTGTACACATAAAATGATATGTAACTATGTTATTAGTAATGAGGGCTCCAGAAATGCATTGCTCTTTTAGATCAGCTTACCTGGTTTTCCATCAAGGTTTTACATACAACATGCTTGATCTGCTCCTTCTACAATGAATCATTTCCTTACAGAAATTTTTTCAAGGAGAAATAAAAAATTCTGAGGGCTTTCAGGACTAGGGAGTCCTTGGTTCACAATAGCTACAACTATGAATCACCAAAGTAGGAGGTGTGGGGAATGTGTCGTGAGGGAGAAGCAGTTTTGTAAAGTAGAACATTCCCTCAGGCTAGCATTTATGAAGTCAGAGACAGATGTCTGATGTGCCCGAGGCAGCTCTTCTACGGTCTTTATTATCTTTATCAGAAGCAGTCACCCTCTTGCCAAAACCAGAAACCTAGCAGCCTCCTTGACCACCTCTCCCTCAACCCTGACCTTCAGCTCTCACTGTTCTCTGCCTGAGACATCCTACCCAGAACCCAGAAGTTCCTACCCGGAACCCAGATGTTCCTACCCGGAGCCCAGATGTCCCTACCCGGAACCTAGATGTTCCTACCCGGAGCCCATATGTTCCTACCCAGAACCCACATGTTCCTACCTGGAGCCCAGATGTCCCTACCCGGAGCCCAGATGTCCCTACCCGGAGCCCAGATGTCCCCACGTGGAACAGGCCTGCTTACACTATGCTGCCCAGAAGCAACATCACTACCTCCCTACCCTCCACTGTGAAACCGTTTCTCCAAGCTCTCACTGTCACTGAGTCTCTTCTAAAAATTTTTTTAAATTTCTACTTTAAAAAAGGACACACATTTTTAAAAAACAATATATTTTCACTGATGAAAGTTGGAAACATGGAAGTACAAAAAGGAATAAATAAAATTATTCCGCCACCAGCGAAGCATTGCTACATTTTATTTACTGACGTATTCCTAGAATGGTATCTGTTCTCCTATGTGGTGGGCGAGTAACAAATACTTGTTGAATAAATACATGAATAAATATCCTCTGTATCTTCTCATCTTCTAATGAGCTTTTCATTTCTGACACAATATTTCCACTCTCCAAGAATTCTTTCCAGCTCTTACAATGTTCCCTTTTTATTCCTCTTCTTGTTTCACCATTAAAGCTTCTTCCTATCTCTCCCAATGTAACACATTTATAAGATCTCTTCTCATTGTGAGTTTTCATTTTGTCCCAATTTTGGAGTGTGGGGAGGTCTCTACCTTTCATATTACACATTTTTTTCCATAAATGTCCAGGGAGCCTTGTTTGCCTTTTCAATTCTAAGCGGGAAACACTGAAATGCTGACCAGAAGTTCTGGGCACGCAGGAGAGGTTTGTCGGATCGTGGGCATCGTGAGTCCCGACAGACCTGTGTGTTTTGTCGGTGAGCTCCCAATGCAAGTACCCGAGCTGTTTCCTCTGAGTTGATCCAATTCCCCATAGAGTGCAAAGGCCAGACTGTCAGTGTTCCAGAGCTGATAGGGGGAGACAACTGGGAATAGCTCAGCATTGAATTAACTCTTAGCCTAGGGCCTGGCTCTCTCCGTTTTCGGTATCGTACCCCAGCCCCCTCTGTGCCTGGTACACTCCCATTCTAAAGACTCTCTGTTCTACCCTCTCCTGATGATAGAGCTCCAGTTTTCTTCTGAGGTTGAGAGCATGAGTCCCTTTGCTGCATTATGATGGGAAGGAATCAGGGAATCTGCTTGCTGCTGCTGCTTTTTAAAAAACCGTTAACATTTATTTAGTATTTACTATGTGTTAGGCATTGGTCTAAACACTTTACATACATTAATTATGTAGCCCAGTGTGGCGGTACTACTGTTCCCCACATTTACGTGTGAGGAAGCTGAGGCACAGAGCATTTATGTGTCGGACAATTTACCAGGGACACCGCTGGTATAGGCGGAACTGGGATGTTCCCTCGGGCACTCTGGCTCTGGAGTCTCTGCTTTTGACTGCTGCTCTACAATTCACACTCATCACAGTTCTCCTTGGACTGCTTGCCTCTTAAACAACATTTCAATCAGTTATCCTGCGTTTAGTACCACTTCCACCCCCATCTAGGGCCACCCATTCCCGGCCCCAAGGGGATCTCCTGTGCTCAGTGGGTTGCTTCTTGGCGCCCTGCCCCAACCCCACTGCCGGCTGACTCAGCTTTCTCCAGTCTGCCAAGTGCATCACTTCCAGCTCATCTGATTCCCAGCTCTCAGACTGCTGGCTTTTGTCTCCTCTTCTGTTTTGTTTGGCCACGTGAATTTAGGCCCAAGTCCTTCATGTCTCTTTAGCTGAGCATTGAAAGGTATGTGCGTGTGTTCAATCTGCCATCTTTAACCAGAGCTCTACCTTTTAGCCCTAAAATGTTTGGTGCACAGCACTTAGGGTTATGTCACCCATGACATGGTGTTACAATTATTTTTTTCTCTTTTCTACATTTCTTTTATCCGGCTCTTGGTTCCTTGAGGACAGCAACCAAGTCTTTCTCACCCTTGTGTCCCAGGGACATGGTAAAGTGTCTGGCACAGAGCAATTGTCCAGGAAATGTTAAGTGAGTGGGTGAAGTTTTCATCCTCACTAATGCCCAACTTAATTAAGTCTACCCTGGAAAGTACCCTCTGGGCCTTTGGCCATTTTCATCCCGTCCATTTGCTTTCCCACAGGATAGCTTGATAGGAGTGAAAACAGAGATAACACTGGACAAAACCATGGGGTACCCCAGTTTTCAGCTGGGGCTGGCCATCAGCTAGCAGGGTGTCCTGGCTCTGGAGTGGGGTCTGTGACACAGGTCGGCGGCCCAGCACAGGAGTGGAAGAGAACACAGTCTCAAGCCCAGCTCCCTGGTCCTCGTCCCAGCTTCCTTACCTTCTAACAGTGTGCCCTGAGGCAAGTGACCTAATCTCTCTCTGCCTCAGGTTTTCTCCTGGAAAAATGGAGACAGTAACGGAAATGTCCTAACAGTGACGTTAGAAGGGTAGGAACAATGTCTGACCACAGTGTATGATCTACAAAGTTTACCTACAACTTCTACTATTTTTAAGTTGAGAAATAACATCCTCGGGGCAGCGCAAAGGGCCTTCCAGAGTCCAAATGAACTGCTTTGCAGCCATCCTCTGCCCCAGGCTGGGGTCAAAGCGGAAGCAAAGCCAGCCCACACTGAAGCCTCAACTCCATCTGTCTGGTTAGTGGGTTTGGGATTTCAAACGACCCACTCACAACCCCTCTCATCTTGCTGGAGAGGGGCAGGATTAGCGCTGAGGCAGGCCTGTGCATCTGCTTTTGTATATGAAACTTAAGGGTAATCTTGCCAGAAATCAGCCAAATGACTCGGAGGACAGCTACAGATCTCTAACAGCTCTTAGATTCTAAGATCTGTGAAACAGGGACAGAAAAGTCCCCGTATTTATTATTTCCTGGGACATTTTGAAGATGACAGTTACAAAGCACTTTTGAGGTGCTAAGGGGGAAAAAGGAGGTGCCATGAGTGAAATATATTAATAGAGTTGTGGGCCGTGGAGAAACACTCTTTTCACACTCAATCTGTGTGTGCAATATATATATCACTCTCCCAAGAATAACTGGGACTATTTTTACATTAGGATTGCACTGTAAGCTCATTGTTACTGGGTCAGCCACCACCTCTCATGTCTTATTCAGACTTGGCATTTCCTAACTCAAAGCACTCACTCTTACACAGCTAGGTCTCTACCAGAGATACAGCTGGTTTTAATTTGTTCTGGGTCATTCTGAAGCTCAGGCCAACCCCATCGTTAGACATCTACGTCCAGCATAACTTTTACTACCTGTTGAATTTACAATGAAAACTTAAAGCAAGAAAAGTCCTGGATAACACTTCCCTAGCGTGCTGCTGGCCACCAATTCCTGACTTGATCATTACTTAAATATATGCACAAACTCTTTCTCAGCTTCTTAGGGGCCATTCCTGGCACAGGGGAAACATTTACTAAGTACGGTAGACTGCAAAAATGGCCAGGATCCTTTATTTCCCCTTGTCTCCACATCCTCTGCCATGTGACTTGGTAGCGCCTTCATTACAAGGTGGAGTAATGAAAGGAAAGCAGGCATGTGACTTGCTTTGACTGATACCATGGGGTGGTGATGCTGTGCCAGTTCTAAGCCCAGGCTCTAAGGGGCTTTGCACCCAGCTGCTCCCTTGGGATCTCTGCTTCCAGCCTGGGAACAAATGGCTGGCCTGCTAGAGGATGAGAGACCATGTGGACCACAGCCAAGTCTTCCCAGCTGCTCCAAAGACATGTCAGAGTCCAGCCAAGGTCAGCAAAGCTGCATACCCAACCCACAGCTGACCCCAGCCCAAAACACCGACCCATAGGAATGATGAGCTGAATAAATGATTGTTGACATAAGCCTCTACATTGTGAGGTGGTTTATTACACAGCATTACTGAAGCAACAGATAGTTGATAACACTGAGGAGATGAGGCCATCCCTCTGCCATCATTTTTACCTGGCTGCCACATTCTGCCTCCTACTTTTGAGCAATACACTAAGAGTAAGAACGTATAATGCTCCTTGGTTTCATCTATAATCTTCAATATGGGGTTTGCAGTTTGATAAAACTAGTGTTTGAGGGATTTATTTCAGGGTGCTTTTCATGATAACACTATAAAAGCCTTCACACAAAAAAATTAAAAGCTAACATTGACAGAACACTGACTGCATGCCAAGCAGCAAGCTCTCAGAGCCACAACCTCTAAGATGCAACAACCCCTTCAGTCCTCACAACAAGCCTGCATGGAAGTGGCCTTCCATTCTATAAATGAGGAAACTGAGGTTCAGCCGAGTTAGATACGCTCCCGTGACCTCACAGCTGAGGTGATGGAGAGCCAAACTTCACCCCCAGGCACCTGCACTCCAAAGAGCATGCTCTCAACCAGTGTGCGCCTGCCCGTCTCCCTGAAGTGAGCTCCAGGACACTGTGCTGTGTGCGTCTCCATGTATGTGCAAGCACGCAGCATGGCGGCGAGAGGGGCAGTAGCCAGCCTTACCCGAGCCCGATGCAGAAGCATAGTCATCGTCATCAATGGGATACACTCCTGAAGCATCTTCAATGGAGCTGTTGTCGAGGTACATGTCTTTATCAGACGTCAGCTCTGCCCTCTGAGGAAGGAAAGAAAAGGTATTCAGGATGGGGAGAAATGACCAAATGCACTTAATTATCTTACTCTTCAGGTTCACACTGCAGTGAGCAGCCTGCTCTCTCCTCCATTCTCTGAGCCCCCATTTCTGGCCCTGCCCTTCCTCAGGACCCCCTGACAACATGCATGAAGGGCTGAGCTTGGACAAATGTCCCCCAGGGAAGCCCACGTGGCCTATCCCATGGAATGAAGATGGCACAGAGACCTCAGCACCCATCAAGTGCATATTTCGTTACATTCCACCAAACCCGAGTTTCAGTGGTCCCAGTGCCAGTTTTAAGCCATCTCAGGCATTCACTTTGTCACGGAGTCACTGCTAAGCTCCTTTACTGGAAAGCTACAAAACGCTGAAATCATGTAAGATGTTCTTGGGGATGTATACAAAGGCAGGGTGGTACTTAAGCTAAATCAAGGTTACCAAGTGTTCTTAGGCCTGGTCATGCTCAGGGCCAAGAACTCCCTGGCCTGGCAGCCTGGGCAGTCCAGAGCTTTCTGCCACAGCCCAGACGTGGGCAGATGCCACGCAGGGAACCCTACAAGGAGCAGTGCTGGTGAGGCTCAATGACAAGGGCGAAAGCCCACTGCAAGCCTGCTTCCAGGGCTCATTGGCTTGGCAGAGCCTTAATGACAAACGCAAATAAACCCACACAAGTCCATTCTTTTTATATCGCTGGCACTTGGTAACAGCAAACCACACGCTGAATGTGGAGAGGGACCGCTCCCTAAGCACACCAGTTCCACAGCTTCTCAGCTCTTCAGTCAGAGTGTTAACATTAAAATCCAACCTAATCATGTCAGAAAGGTCCCATGCATGATGCATGAACTGAAGGCAGAGTAGACATATATTCTTTCAAATGGTTTTTAGTAAATTGGTTATTTTACCACCAACGGCTTATTAAAAAGCCCAGAAACAAATAAAGCCAACTCATAGCTTCTAGACAACATTAGTGTTTGGAAACAGGTAACGCCATTATTGTCCTATTTTTAAAATTCAAATTGAATGTTTGTTCCTAATGAGAATTATAAAAAATGTTTCCCTCACTGCATTGGCTTTCATCAGACTTCCTCTTCAAAGGAAACTTCCTGTTCCGTGACTGGGGCCTCCCTGGGACTACAGACAGGCCCGCCCTCCACAATGCCCCCTCCAACGTGAGAGAAACTTTATTCTCTCACGTTTCAGCTGCTGGCTACAGACACCGGAGTGTTTTAAACCTGAGCCCATATTTCCCACCAGGCTTCAGGGCCAGGCTTCCCATACATGGAAAGTATGGGAACCCATTTCATTTGAGCCACCACGCGGGCACATTCTGAGAACTGAAACCTTAGGGACTGGTTTTCCAGTGGACGGGCCTGCAGGCATTGAATGACCACCCTGAGCCAAGAGCGTGCTGGAATTTTTCTGCTAGAATGGTCAGAGTTTAACTCTGCGATCTGAGGCCATCCTGCATTACACCGTTTCCAAGGCTATCACCATTGCAGGCTGTAATTCCCAAAGCTTGTGAACCGCATCAAGAGCCCTGCATTCCATAGCTCTACTATCAACTTGAATGACCCCTGTTACCCTCACAGCTCCGTGGAAGGCAGAGACTGGACCTCCGGTCATCATTAACCTACCTCCACTCCCCACAGTCACAGTACCTGGCAGATAGGAGGCGCTCAGTTTATGCTGCTTGGGCTCCATGGGCTTCCACCTGAAAGCAATTCTCCGTCCTGCTTGCATTAACCTTTGTCCTGTGCAACTCATGTGGAGGGCCTTCTCGTTCTTTCTAAAATCTCGCCCACTCCAAAACAACCTGTGACTTCTTCAGTCCTCATGTGCTCCCTAGCTGTAAACTACTGTTTTGGATTTTGTAGCATATGGACAATTCAAGGCATAAACTGTCACTGTTACTTTTAATTGTCACAGATGTATTTCTCTTGCCCCTCAGCTCAGCACCACTCACTGAAGGCAGGTCTTCGACGGCCTGTGTATGCTCCCTTACCCTCTCAAAGTGCATGGGTACTTAATAAATATTTGTCATGGAGATTAACTAAAACAAATTAGCCTTTGTCTCAGGTCCCTGAGTTAACACATGTCGCAAGATCCACCACAATTCCTATCATTAAAATCCCTCGCGTCCAAGCCTGGGTGATCATCTTCCCCATACACATTGTACTGTATCCAATTAAGTAACCTAAGAGTTGGAAAAGTAAGTGAAAGTCCGTTTACATGTTAGCAATTCATTGCATAACTTTCATTTTCCTCGTGACTCTGTCAAAGAAGTTTGAGGTGGCATGGGTATCACTAAAATATTTCATCCCTGTGTATAAATTAAATTTCTGTTCATTAGGTGACCCAGCTGACCAGACGGACACATCTGTCAAACTAACAGGCAGATGGATAGAAACATCTCCCAGAGACCCTGGCCACCTCCCAGTTCGCACAGTTCAAGCACATTGAAGTAGCCTGACAAACAACGGACTTCGCCAGGACCCCGGGCTCCTTATGAGGAGCTGTCAGGCCTGAATTACTACAAGAGGTGGGGCGGAGGTCTGGGTGTGTCTAGAGAAGCTGACTTGCCCTTGGCTACTTGGGGTTTGCAAGACTCACAGACAATCTGGGAGCTAGCAATGTGTTTAATGTGCTTAAATGCAGCTAAAAGTATTTGCTCCTCCATCACCCAGTGGGATGCAAATAATTCCACACCCGACTCAGAGTCACCTCCCGCTCTAATGTCAGGGGCACCAAGTGTGTAGAAGGAATTCCCCAAATCCCTCCAGAGAGTCCAATTTAATAATAAGTAGGCCCTTTCACTTTGTAGCAGACAATGCTCAAAGAAGACCTCCAGTGTCTTTTCTTTAAACAAAAGATACCTTTCCAAACATGACACATTTCTTTTTGTGAAGACTCACACTGGGCTGAAAGGATTTTTGCCATTAATGTGCCTGGAGAAGGAAGTGAATTATGCACCAGCATTTCCTTGAGACAGGAAAACGTGCATCTCTCCAAAGCCATCAAGAGTAACTCAAGACAACCGCTCTTACACCTAGCCAGCTGCCTGCTTCCCGAAGCAGAACACCTCAGGGCACACTCCAAACATCCTCTAGCTGCATGAGATAGAACTGCCGGTCTAAACCCGCCAGGAGAAAGGCGCAGAGGCAAGTCCCCGAGTGCAGAGAAGCTGCCCTCCTGGAGGACTTCTTGATTAGGCTGTTTAATTTGGGACTGACCATTTCTGGGGGGCAGTGTCAGTACCGTTGGCTCATAGGGCTTGGAGTATGAGCTGGAAGAAAAACAAAGCTGGGCTTTCAGACCTTTCCCCCTTGGCTGATGGAAGACGGGCACACAGGAGAGCAAAGGGGAGTTGTGGAAAGCAACTAGGCATGGTGAGGGGGCAGGCTGCAGACTGAGATGTGGCCCGTTCGGCCAAGGAACCTGAAGCATGAAGACAAGGCAGTTCTTCCCAGAGGAGGATGACTTCTGACTCAGTCTGTATCCCCACAGTGCTTCGGAGAAAAGCAAGGGACATATTTGTCTCCTACCTCCATCCCTCCTGTTCTAGCCCCCAAACTGCAGCAACTTCATAACCTTGGGCCTGGACCATTACTCAGAACCCCCTACTTGGGCACTTGCTCAAGTCTTTGTCCTTGAACCCATTCTCTGCAGAGGGACCATTCCTAAACATGACCACATTTCTCCCTGCTAGAACCCCTTTCTCTGCTCCCTATCATCTATAGGATAAAATAAAAACGCCTTAGTCTTGAAAGTTCTTTTACCATGTGGCCTCACCTGCAGTTCCAGTGCCAGCCAGTGCCACTTCTACCCAAACCTCCGGCTCTATGGCCAAAACTCCACTGCGACCTGGTGACACCAGTTGCCTTTATATAAGACCCCTGAGAGGAAATACACCCCTTTATGGATGAAAGTTGAGAAAAGCAACTGTGATATAGGTCCTACATACTTGAGGATGATGAAAACTAGTATTTCGTGAAAATGATTCAGCCCACATGCATATGGTGTTTGTAATAAATAGGAAGAGAAATGTTAATTCTATGCATAAAAGACCATCAAGTGCACCAATCTCAGCTTTAAAAGAAATACCACAAACCTGTCCATTTTCTCAGCAAAGAAAAGCTGCGAGACAGCAACTGCACAGATCTAATCGTCAGATTTTTCTCATGTAGGTACGGTCTGCATGTAACAGCTCTCACGCTTCAACCTGCAGATGTGGAAATCTCGTATTCTGAAATCTGAGGCCCTCCTGGAAAGAAACACTGCTTTATCTCCTACGTGCACGCCCTCCCAACGCCTTCAACTAGTGCCACCGGGAAGGTAATTAAAGCTCAAAGCAGTGCGTGTTGAATTCACACCATGGTTTAAACTCAGGTGCGTGACAAAGTCAGAAAGGAGAAAACCTAACTACTTATGAACACCGTCCACCCCAGGACCCAACCTTCAGAAAATGAGTCTTTGCACCTAACAGCAAAATACTCACACTGCCCAGTATTACACTCCGTACCACTTCACAGAAAACAACACTCGGACTATGACTCTTCATTTCAGGATAAAGGCACGTCCAGTCCTGATTCAAATTCAAATGTGTACTCACTTTTACAGGATTACAAAGTGTCAAACTGGCTGTAATTTTAGCTTATCTTTCCAGAGGTGACTAACTCAACTATTTTATTACTAACACACATATTAAATGAATTAATTTCTCCCACACACTCACTCAGAAATGATATACTTGCCCTTAAGATGAACTTTCCAATTCTGGCCCCCGTATAGCTCAAAGGAACATATAATCCTAGATCCTGGCCAGACATTATAGACATCAAGATCACCTATTTTTTTTTTCAAAAGATACAGAACACCACACTAGCAAATTAACTTGACATCATCCAGTCTAGTTAGTGGTTGCCTTCCCCTGGGCCCTTTCTGTTGCCCTGTAATGACCCATAACATTACAATGTCAAAGCCAT